TTGTGTGTGTGTGTGTGTGTGTGTGTGTGTGTGTGTGTGTGTGTGTGTGTGTGCGTGTGCGTGTATCTGTATGCACGTGCGTGAATGTATAGGCGTGTTCGTATTGAAGAAAGTTATCTGCCCAAAGTGCGAGTTGTAAATCTTTTCGGTTAACGTTTTTATTCAACTATTTTTGTCATTTTTGCCTTGTCATTGGGCCTTCTGCGGTAGTAAAAGTTTATATCTTCTTGAGATGCGTCGTCTTGAATTGTAATGTATTCTCGCACTAAATAATATTATTTACTAGATCTATTTCTATATTGCGTAATTTTAAATGTTTACCGCCCCATCGACAACATTTGGTCGCTTTTAAGCACAAGGGGGCTATCCCGAAAAATGCTGTTTTGAGAAAAACGAAGGTAACGTTTTTGCCCTTTGTTCAGTCTGTTTGTTTTGGTAAGTGTTTTTACGGCGCTCACAACTGCATAAGGTCATATGAGCGCCAGAAGATTAGAGGTGTTACAAAAGTGTGACAGACATACACAAGAAGTAGGGGAGATAAGGACGATAGATGTTTCATAGGAAAGAAGAAGCAAACCACACCAGAGCACCCGCCAACCACCCACGCCCCAGTTCTACATTCAAGTAATTCCAGTAACAATATAACAACAGTACGACAGCAAAAACAGAATTGTAATAACAATAGCATAACAAAAACAAGACAACAACATCATCAAACACAAAAACAACGAGAACAGCAGCAACAACGACAGCATCATCAGCATCATCAGCAGCATCAGCAGCAGCTACAACAACAACAACAACAACTTCAGCTCTGTAAAAACAACATCATCGCCACCTGCAGGACATCCAGAAACTCCCGAAGGTCTCTCTCTATCCTCACTGCTTCCGGGTCGAACCCGGGCATGCGCAACACAGGCGCCGTGTCCTGCCCTGTCTGCTCTCCTGTTGTTGTAGAAGAGTTGGGCAAAGGGAGACCACTGCCCAGCACAATACGTCCTGTCGTGTTCCTGCGAACACATATATCTACTTCTATCTAACGTGTTAGCATGGTTGTTCATCGAGAATGAAAACAACAACAACAACAACAACAACAACAACAA